TTCTTCTTCTCTGTGCTCTTGGTGCAGTTTTTGGGGTCGCAAGTTTTAAGAGTGAACTTTATGCTCTAATTTCCGAAAAGGAAAAATTAGCAAAGTATTTGCGCCGTTGCCATATCATAAACTGGCAAAAGGCGAAAACTGGAGCAGCCATAACATGCATGTGTCCGGATGGGTGTGTGTGTGTGTGTGAGTGTGTATGGGAGTCTGATGGGGGGTTGCACACAAAAGTCACATAAATTTGAAATGACAGCACCGTTTTACAGTTTTTCGAGGTCGTGTGGTAATAAAGTTGACTAGAGCCACAGTCACATGGAGAAAACTGAGAGAGCAGGAGAAAGAAAGAGACAAAGAGAGAGAGAGAGAGAGAGAGAGAGAGCTTGATACGAAGAGCAACAGCTGCTCCAAGCGACGCATGATGACAGACCAAAGTGGCAGCTAGTTGGGCTCTGGGGCAGTCCAAAAAGCTGGTCCTTCACTCTCTCTCTCACACTCCAACTAGACTCGTAAAATATGTTTATGTCTGTGTAGAACTGAGGCTCATAGGCCCAGCTATATATATGTATATAGATATAGATGTGTGTATGTATGCATATCTATATATTCATCTGTTTATATTTGTATATGTATATGTGTATGCGTTCGCAATTGCTCTGTTGAGCTGCTCTATGAAATTATGCAATGGGGATTATTTTAGTTAAATTGCCCAACTGCGTCGAGGGTCAGCCAGATAGACAAGCAGCCAAACAGACGGACGGATGGACGGATGGACGGACAGTCAAAGAGATAGACAAGCGAGCTGGCACTCATATCGCATAAGCGCATTCATGGCATTCGTTTAGCAGCAATGAATACTGTATTCGGACTTTGAGCTCAACTATTATGGCTCTGCCGACAGCTCATGCTGGGAAAGTCGCTGAGAATTCTAAAACTTTTAAATATGCATGCAGTTGTTGGCTTTTCAGTAATAAAACATTTCTTCAAACTTGAATATAAATTTGCATACATGAATTAAGTTTTCTTATAAAAATAAATTCATGAACAATTAAAAATTATTTTTAATATTATTTTTTTTATATTAATTTAAATTTATTTATTATAAAATATTATTGAAATATTATTATTTGTTATTTCAATTAATAAAATAAAATTAATTTTAAAAAATTTTACAAATTTGAATCAAATGAATTAAAATAAAAAATTTAAAAATAACACTTTTAATTTATATTGTTAAATAAAGTTTGTTGAAGTGTTAGCTTTAAATGTTATGAATTATCTTTACAAATATATATAAATATAATATATAAAAATATATACTTATATAATTAAATTGAATATTATAATATCGACCTTTGAGTGGAAAGCTTTTTGCGTTCATTAAAACGGATTGTTAAAGCGGCTTAGCTCAAAGTGCAGAGACCGCAGGCAGTGCAAAGCAACAGCATTTGGGTCAACAGAGAGGTCAGAGCGTTGCCAGACTGCCACTGACTGCGGCCACTTTGGCACACAAATGTTATATAATTTCTAAATCGCTGCAGCCGAAAATAAAGGCGGCCAGCGCTCTAATGGCCAAAAGACCACAATTCGCGAGTGCGGCCCCGTCTCATTGATTTCTGGCATTCGAGCTGCTGCTTTGATTGAGCGACAGCTGCAGCAGGAGCATCGGTGGGGCAGTGGGACAACTGGACAGTGGGACAACTGGACAGTGGGGCGGACGGCACGTGTTTCGGCCATTTGACATAATTAACGCGAAAATCATTTTGTGGGCGTTCGGGCATATTGACGTTTGTCAATTTAATTACAATTTATTTTTGCTCATTTTAAGAATTTGTTTTGTTGTTTGCTGCTGCTGTTGTTGTTGCTGCTGTTGTTTGTTGAGCCATGCGAACAATTTGGCATGTTTTGCGGTCCTCATTTTGGCGCATTGTTTAATTTATTTTCAACATTTTGTGTTTTGCGGCAATTTGTTTGTTGCTTGTTTTTGCTCATTTTTGAATGTTGTTTGATTTGCATTGCGGCTGCATTTTCTCCTTTATATAATATGGCTATTTAATGCATTTAACTTTCCAAAAAATATTTATTTTCTTTTTGCATATTGATATAAATTTAAGTAGTGTTGTGCATGAAAATATGATGGATAGTATTTATTAAATTTATTGAAAATAATTTGTATTGATATAATACGATTAAAGACGAATAATAATTATGATGATATATATAATTATAAATGTATATATAATTAATTTAGCGATAACAAAATTTGATTATAAATTGCTCAACATATTTTTATGAACAATAGCCAGATATCGCCCCACTGTTCCACAATTGAATTTAATTCAAGCCAATTTAAACTTCAAACAAGCTTAATGAAAATCAAATACCCAAATGAAATGATTTTTTTTTACATACATACATGCATATATAAATATTTCGACATTAACAAACAGAATGAAAATAATGTGAAATTAAATAGAAAAGTTTATAAATTAGTTAAGAACTTAATTCTGCTTTCTATAAATATTATTGTGGAGTGCACTAGATGTTAATGACTGTCAAAACGCTTATGGGTCCGCAGGGCTTAAAAAAAAGAAGAAGCACAACAGCAACAATAACAACAACAACTTAAATGCCTGATTTTAGTGGCGTCCAACAAATTGACCCACTTAAGCTAATCCGCGTACAAGTCCAATTAATGCAAATTAAGCAGAGCAGCGCTGCCACGCCCACCCCAACATACAAAAAAGCCGCAGCTAAAAGCCACGCATAAGATTTGAGTTAACGGTGCGCCCTGCACCCCGCCTCCTGCGTTTGCAATTGGGGCTTTTGGTTGGAACAACTCCGACGACAAGTCGTACAACATAATAAGGCTTATGCCAGTGACTTTTATAGCCAAGTGGCGCGACACACCCGCGCCCCCCGTCCACCGACCATTTGCGTGCGTCGCTAATTAGTGTAAAATGTTTCCTGTTATTTACCTTTTTCGGTTTCTGCAACAAAGCAAACGACAACGCGGCCTAAATATAAATGGGCAACAGCCAGCAGAGCGAGGGTAGCAATGCAAGTTGCCCGCTGGCAGAGCAGCAGAGGATGAATGGATGGATGGGAGAGTGTTAGTGAATGGCTATATCACTAGCAGTTCTCGGTTACGGTGTCGATTTTATTATTTGTGCGCTCGCTGACGTGACCTGCTTGCGTAATAAATAAATAGTCGTATTTATTTTGCAGTTTGTAATCAACGCAATGCCAAAAACAAGGACCAAATCAGCGCTAATTAACCCAAGGCCTGAATGGAAATGGGAAAAACAACAAAAACAAAGACACGACAACAACAGAGAGACAAAACAAGCAGCCAGCTATTCGCGGCCAAATGTCCTGCTGCTTAGCATGCAGAGCATCAACTCGTTCGAGTCGACTCGGTGTCGCGTAAATTGCATTTTAAAATAAATTATAATCATTATTATGTTGCAAACAACAGATGTCAGTCGAGCCATTTCCATCTACTCTGTCAGCCAGCTCTCTCTCACTCTCTCTCTCTCTCTCTCTCTCTCTCTCTCTCACTCATTGCTGCGTTGGCAGCCATTTAGCCCCGTTCGCCACTTTAGTCTTATGGACGGCGCATAAAAATGTTAACTGAACAACATTAACGCCAGCATTTTATGACGTTGAACTTAATATTATTAAATCAGCGACGAGTTTATGAAGCGCTAAACACTCTCTGTCTGTGAATGCTCATGGATCCGTTGATAAGACATCAGACTAAGGCGACGGCCAAACAGCTACAAGTTATGCTATTTCTGGGCGGGCTTTAAATAATGAGAAAATGTTAACTTCGTTTGTTTTGCACTGTCCTTGCGATCCAAGGCTTGAATATTGCTCAAAGCGGAATTCAAAGAGGAAATGAGAACACTTTTTATATGTATTGCTTACCAAACCATGATTTTAATTAGTTTTAATTTTAGTATGTATTCCATTGCAGGATTCCCAATTTTCTAATATTTTTTTTATTTTTATACGTATATATATTTATTATTATACCCTGAACCCATTGAAAATGGGAAATCAGGGTATAATGATTTTGGGAAAAAGTATGTAACAGGCAGAAGGAATCATCGCAGACCCCACAAAGTATATATA